AGTATATTTTAGCAGAGCAGCTTTTCTATGTATTAGTAGATATTCATTTGCTTATTATTAATTTGTTATTTTTACAATAAATAAATAGTTTTTTATACAATTTTTTAATATTTTTCAAAATTTTCCAAAATCACAAAAATATTTTTTTGTACTGTTAAAATACAATAATAAATTTTTGTTATATTTCATTCCTCTAAAATTTTTTTATTCGTGGTTAAAGTGATTTTTTGACTTAAGGGCATTCTTCACATAATTGCTGGGGGAAAAGTTGAAAGAAATGACAGGAACGCTAATGTGTACAGTAAAGCTAGCAATTCTTTTACTAAATAATGGTACAGTCAAACGAGCTGCAATGTTCGTGGATATTTTTTATGCTATTTTAATACTTGTTTGACGTTTGAACAATATCTGTCAAAAAAATTTATGTGTGATGAACGTCCTGAAGGGACATTCACTTGCATATTATACTACGCTATTGAAGAAAACTATACTACAGGATGGTTTTTATTGATTTTTTATATACAATTATAGTTTGGATGGACAAGAAATAAGTGTTGGATTTTACGTGATAGATGTGAGCGTGACGTTACAGATGTAATCAGCGTAGGCAGTAGAATATTGTTCTAAAATCGACGAAAGATTCGATGAAAGTGCACACTCTTGGAACGGCCAGCCTATATATTACTTTTATTGTATTGTGCCGTAATATATTGTTTATCATCGTCAATTAATTAAATATTAGTTAAAATCACACCCAATAAATGTATGTATGCTCATTTCCACGTTAATTGCACCACCTTGGTACGTAACATTATTTCATAGAAGGTATTTTTATACTCCAAATTATTTTGTTTGCCGTGTAATTTTGTTGAAGTATAAGTTTATACTTAGGTACCCAAGAACCCACTGTCCACTGGTTTTTTTATAAGGAAATTGTACTTATATTGATTTCAGTAATTAGCACAACAACCAAAATTTTTTTATTTGATTTTAAAGGATTTTAATCGCTCTGAGATGACTTGAATTTCGCGCTTGAAGGCAAAATTAAGTCATATTTTTAACTTTAATATTTGCCAAACTATATTCGAAAGGATTTTAAATTTACCCGCACAAATTCTCTTCTACGTACACTTGGTTAGACTAGGGCGGAGCATAGACATATAAAGAATGGACCGCTTAATAACAGCTGGGGCAGTGAGGCTTGCGTAGAAAGAAAGGGAAGACGAGGGCCGTGAGTAGGGTCGTGGGAGTACAGGCAGAAGTATGCACCGATGTTCTCTGATCCGTCCTTCTGCCTGTACCCCTAAGACACTATGACCCCACTTCGTAAGTGTGCGGGAGAGAAAGACTTACTGCCCTCATCTCTCTCTTTCTACGTGAGTCTCACTGCCTCGGCTGCTAATAAGCGGTCTATTCTTTATGTGTCTATGGGGCGGAGTATTAGTACAGCCATGGAGTATCAGTCCTGGGCTCTATGCTTATCCTGAAAGAGTCACGTAGGGCTAGGTCATCCTCGGGGGTGTTGAGTGTCTCGAGTACAGCTCTAGTAATCTACCAAGGTACTTCGCCGACGGAGCGCCATCGCTATCCCTAGTATCTCTACTGCTTGGTCGCTCTCTCTCTCTCTCTCTCTCTCTTTCTCTCTTGGCTCGTGCTCGTTGCAGTTAGTACCGGTGCACGGTAAAGTTCCAGGTCTGGTAAGGCAACGGATCTCCGCATCCAAGTCTCGCTGGAAGAGAAACTTATTTCCTTGCGCGTCAGCGTCCTCTATAGCCGACTCGTAGATAATTCGCCGCCGTAATCTGCGCTTTTTCGCTACGCTCTATCGATTACACATATTTACTGATAATACTTGCGCATATCTTATCTTACTTCTTGTGCGTTATTGACAGCGCAAATTATATGTTTCACGCCGACTCTTTAAATTTTTACTTGGTGAATTGTATGTTTTTTTATTAATTATTTGAAGGAAAAGTGAAACAAACAAAAGGATATAAATAGAAACAAAAAGTGTATATTACAAATTTTTAGGCAATAAAGAATGTGCCCTTGCAACATATGATATTTGTTAAAAAGTAATTGACGTGATAGATTTTATAATAATAATTTCCAGGGTTATGCTGCATAATATGTGCCACATGAGCATTTTCGTTAATTTGCTATATATTTTATCCGGAACGGAAAGTTAAAAGCTTGAGCTTAGATGCTTATTAGAAAAATCAAGATTTGCTGATTAAATTAGGGGTTTTTTTTTTTTTTTTTTTTTTTTTTTTTTTTTTTAATGGAGCAAGGAGGGGAAATCTTCATAGTCACTGAGCTATTCTGGTGGTAGTATTAGACTCACCCAGTGCGCCTACAGACTAAAAACTGACCTCCTTTTATAGAATAGGCCTATTAGGACCACTGCCTAGAAGACAAAAGGGACTTAAGAGAAGAAGGAAAGATGGAAAATAACGGAGAATTTTGAAGGCCAGCTCGCTATCAAAGGGATGAGGGGACAGGCACTTAAGCATCTGAATGGAGCTCAAATATTGGCTTGTACTGGAATAGAGTTGCAGAGGAGCTTAAATTTTGGGTGTAATTGTATATGCGTATGATGTGTGAGTTCACTGTGTATTGTGTATTTGGAGGCGTACTTGTAATTAGTGGGAGTGTTGTATTCCCTCAGGCAATATACCTGGAGGGGATAAGACAATATGCGCAAGTACCCACGGTGTTGATTGAATGAAACACGGTGGGCCACCAGGGCATTAAAAGTACGTAGTTTGTAGATATCTCTAAATATTTAAAAAAGTAAGCATTTAATGGTGATACATAAGGCGTGAAACATGTAGTAAATTGAATTATTACAAAGGGCCTTTTGATTCCATGTCAATCAGTGCTGGCATTCTCACATTACAGCCGTTAAAAGTTTGATAAACTGAAGCACGAACTGTGTGTTGCGTCTGCTTAATCATATATATATAGCAACACTGAGAGCAAAACATGGAGTAGACACACCGTTTGGATGGACTATATACGATGTTTACATCATACTCTCGTAGGCTCTTCATACTTTCAACAACTGTAAAATACGAAAATGCCTGCTTTGATTTACATGCGATGGAGATGCACTTATTTTTGTAATTGAATTTCTCATAACTTCTACGCTTCATGCCTTACCATAAAATGCTTAACTTTAAAGATATTCAAAGATATCTAAAAACTACGTAGATTTGATGCCACTGGCGTCCCCCCATGGTACAAGCACTGGCCACGAGCTGAAGGCACCACTTGATATTCTCACAGAGAATTAAGTTGAGGCTGTAAAGCATACGGCAGGTAGGTTGGTGCTCCTGAAGGGAGCATTTAAAATTGAAGTTGAAGTTATTTTTCGAATCACTGAAATGTATTCGATGGAATCATGGGGGATTAACGACTTAAACTCTGTCTAAGGCTTGCTGTACATCTAAGATAGCTATCGTCATAAAGTTTTTATGGATAACGCTGTCAGAGAGATCTTTGGTGACTTTTAGAAGTTCGTGTACTGTCAAGTATATGGTTCAGAAGCTGTACTGCACGTTTGAAAAGATGCTTTTCGTGGCGTGCTTGTGTAGGCAGATAAGGATAATTCTTTTGGTGATTTTACTGGGCGAGGAAAGTAAACTAATGGGTCTATGGCTCGAGAGGTTGTAGAGAAGTTTTTCCGGCTTAGAAAGCAAAAGACCATAGCCTTAAAACTTTAATAATTCATTAAGCTGACACGTTCGTTACTTCGTAGCGCAAACACTTTTAAATGGGTTTGGGTTCTACCTCAAAGAGATGATAATTGTAACACTCGCTGCAAATCAAAGTGTGTAATTTCAATACGCTATCTGTTCAGTTTGAATCCAAGTAATCACAAACTAACTGTACATCTCTATTTTCGTAGTCTTGTATAGACTGTATTTCGTAAATATAAGTGGTCGAATAATTTCCGGGAATCGTAGTGAACATGTATTTGTTGGCAAGGCAGTTTGACGTTAAATAGCCCTAAAAAAACCGATGAGATTAATGGTTGGCAGAGGTACTTGTGATGGTCCTAAAAAGGGCTTATGCTGATACTTCCAGTCAATACTTATTATTATTTTTGGTCATATGGAGAGCCTGCTGTGCGTGGCTTGACTTTTACTCAACTATTGCAAAGGCATATCAATTTGTACCTGAATCTCTATAAAAATTACCTTTTTACGTAACTAAAAGGTTACGTAAGTTCAACGTGTTTAATTGATATTCCTTACGGGACGTTTTATGCCTTTATATAATAACAAGGAACTGAATTATTTTAGTGCATCGTTGTACAGCCGTTTGAAGTTTTAAAATAAAAAAAATAACGGTGAAGTTTAGTTTTGTTTTTTAGTGCAGCTTACTTTTTGTATTGCACTCGTAGTGTTATTTTGTCTAGTACTCGTATATTAATAAAATCAACCAAAGAAATATTGACTTTGGACTGATATTTTACTAATATAAAAAAGCAAAGACGCTAAAACCGTTGTAATCACTGACTGCAAAAACTACTGAAACGATTTTACTGAAGTTTTGCATACTGATTCTTGATGATTCCGAGATGGTTTTTGCAAAGTTTTTTTCTTGAAAAAGTTAATAACAATACCGATAAACAAGCTCAAAGTTTTGCTAAAATGAGCTAGCTTTGAGCGTTGGTTCAGTAGGTGTCCACTAGGTGTCGTCAAGGTAAAATTAAAGCTACCCAAAATTAAAGATAGTAAAAAGTAGTTATAACATGCACCATCGAATTGTTGGGCCGTTCAACTATCTGGCCTGGTGCCGTCAGAGAATTTTTGACTTTAAATGCAAACCAAGAATGACAGCCCTGATGACTACAGGCAGCCACAACAGCCTCTTTTTTAGTGGTCATCCCAACGGCATACCTACGAAGAAGGTATTCTCCAGGCTTACTCTCCTGACTAACAATGAGTAGTTAGTTATCTGGGGAACGATCCGAAGACGAAATATTCTATGGTCAGCGGCGTATCTCCCTCCGTCACAGTCTTCGTACACAACTTTGACGTTATATCAGGAGACGTTGGGAGAGAGCTCTACAACCGGCTCCAAAGCTTCAAACGTTGTAGTTTTCTTCTCAATCAGTGTGGTACTACAATAACAGACCAGAGAAGATCACCCTGAGATATAGAGGCAATTACGTTTGCTGGAAACTTGAGTCAAGAAAGAGTTTACTTAAGACGCTCACTGGTCCTTTCCAGGGTCTTTGGACGTTGAACTACCTAGCTAAAAAATATATTACTGCCTAATAAAGTTGAAGAAAACAGCCTTTAGGGCTCACAAAAGTCTTAACTATGCCAAAAGTCGCAAGAAGTCGAATTGAAAGGAAGACTTTAAATGCATGTAATGAACACAATTTCAGGCGTCAAGAAAATGACGCTGAACATTTATCGAGATTTTTAATTAAAGCAGTATTAAAATCGATAAATAAAGAATTTATTAGGTGAGAGATCAGCTTTTCACTATAAGTATCGTAATAGTAATCTCTTGAACCTTCCAGATTTTTTTTTAGTTAAAAAATGTATTTGTATTTTTGTGGTGGTAAAAAATGTAGAGATTAAGCTACAAGACTTTGATGCTGTGGTAATGAAGTTGTAAGATGAGAAAAAAATTTTTTTCAATCATATATTTTTTGTTAGTTTTAAATCTTAACAGCTTTTAAAAATAGCCCTGTTCGTAGATTAAACAGGAAAACTGCAAATCAACGGACTTTTAGGGCCAACGATTATTTTATGGCATAAGGAAGGCACTGTACTTTTCAGCATACTTATATTATTTTTACTTTTTACAGCTTTTTACTTGATTAAATAAACTGTATGGATTCCAAACAAATCTATTTTTAATAAGAAGATTTTTGTTCTGAGAAAAGTCAGAAATAGATGTAAAGTTTTTAACTGAAAACGTTTTACATTAAGTACATGTCAACACACTACAGTGTTTCATTTATTGGTTCTCGGGTGAAGCCGAGAAGGGGGGCCACTAGTTGTATATAAACCTTCCAATTAATAGAACAAAATAATGCTACAACATTTTCATGTACTCACAACTAAACAACGTATTAATATATTTAATGTTAAGTTGGTATTGTGTACGTTGTAGTCAAATCTCAATATTACTTAGTTTGATTATTTTGAAGCGCAAGTACTCGACAGAATAATACCACGAGTGCCATACAAAAAAAAAAGCTGCACTAAAAAATGAAACAAAACTTGACCGTTTTTACTTTTTGATTTTAAAACTGTACAGGGATGCATAACGATGCAATGAAAATAATAGAATTTATTGCCATTACATGAAGGTTTGAAAAACTTCTTAAATAATATTAATTTAACACATCAAACTTACCTAACCTTTCGATTTTGTTAAAAGGCAATTTTAGTGGGATATCATAATTTTTTAAGTGTTACGTCAATACTACATTCGACGTGCCCTTTTTTTCTCATCGTCCTTCTCTTATTTTTCTGTCTGTAAGTAAACGTTTTCATTTTAACTCTAACACAATACACATACACTTGTGCCCCCCCCCCCCGTCACGTCTTTGCCCAAGACTACCTGTTCGTAAAAAGGCGGATGTAGTTAAATGAGCAGATGTGCAAGCCAGGATATTTTTGTTTATACATTTGCTTAACATTTGCTCAATGAAATTTGACAACGGTATGTTTCATCTCCATCCTTTTCTTTTTTTAGCACTCTTTTAATATCTAAGGCCATCAAGCCGAAAAATTGCGTGAACTCTAATGTGACTTACTTTTGACTGCATTCACATTTAAAACGAGTGAACCACTGGAACCAAGAAGAAAACAGTATACGTAAAGGAAGACGGAAACGATAAAAAAACATTTTCTCACCCTGCTATGGCATGATGCAGTCTAATTATAAGAATTGGACTTACGAACGTCTAATCATCTCTGGCCATTATGGAAATGATAAAGAAGCAAGATTCACGACTATTTATTATAAACCTATGATTTTCTCCACAAGCTATTTATTCGATGGTCAAGCTAGCTTAGGTGTACACCTATAGCGGTAACCAGACTAGACCCACAACCTGGAGAGCCCGATCAGTGCACATGCACGACCTGGAGAATACTGTTGATTCGTTTTTCATTAAAATTAAATAGAGCCACCTAGATATTACCCTAAAAGTAACTTTTGTATCTCTTTTTATACATAAAAATAAAAGTAAGTAATATCTCTAATTAAAGAAAATTTTAAGTTACCCCTATTATTTTTTACGTAAAACCCACGATTGCGTGCCATTCAATCCGGATATTAGTGACCAGGTGAGTGGTAAAAAAATGTATAGTTACCAAACAATTAAAGCTTGAACGCTACGTTGTTTGACGGATGGTGTAAATGCTGATGGCCAAGCGAGTAGTTTCCATTTTGAAATCATTGGGCAGAGGGTGCCCAAGTATAAAGTTATACTTCTATGAAACTCTACGGCAGATAATATATGAATATACTATACTTTCTATTAAACAATATTGTGTACGAAGGTGGTGTAAACTATCGCTGGAATAAGTTTATATTGTACGTTAATTAGGGGTCATTTCAATAAATATTTTAACACTTCATAAACGAAAAATTATAAAAAATATTTTACGTAGATGAGAAAAATTTTAATTAAAGCCATGACAACATGTGCTGATTACATCTTTAACGTCACGGTTACATCTATTACGTACGCTCGTACACATATTTCTAGTCCATTTCTAATACCTACAATATATTTGTATCTAATGAGCTAAGAAAACCATTTAGTAGTGCCATTTTATTTTTAATAGAGTAGTATTATATGTCAGTGAATGTAGCTTCAGGACGTATATCCTACACAGGTTTTTTTACAGATATTTTTAAACATCGAACATATATTCCAAATAATATAAAAATAATTTTAAAAAGGCAGATCACTCACCTAAATTTTTTTTTGTGAGTTAAATTTAAAAAAAAAAAAAAAAAAAACTAGCTAAAAAATGTAAAGTACGAATTTCGTATTCATACGTCAAAGTATCACTGGAGTATACGATAAAAAGTTATATCCTGATAAAAAACTAAAATCTGAATTTATTTTAATCTGCGAACACCAAAAAGACACGAGTACACTTTTCCAAATCGAGTATT